ATATAATTAGCATAAAACTAGCCCGATAGATTTTCGGCAGTCTGTTGGTTGTAGCTATATTATATATCGGGTTGGAGATGTTTGTATAAAACTGTACAGTGTAGACATAAAGTCCCTATCTACTTTAATAAAATACATTATAAATAATTTCAATTTCAATTATAGAATGAAAGATTAGTAACAATTGTCTAATTATCATGGTTAGGGTTTGACGTAGTGACTGTTAGTATCTCCACGTAGCTCAAATCATTCAGTGGCATTTTGTATATGTTTGCATAATTTCTAGATCACAGTATTTTTAAACTATGAAAATGTTTTTATTTTTTTAAAATTTAGTCTATTAAAGTGGCAAGCTTTCGTGGAACAGGATATTTAGAACTGAAAGGTCAACCATTACCTCAAGATTCTAGTTTTGGGTTTTCATTTCAAACAAATCAAAAAGATGCTCTTCTATTATTGTCAGTATTTGAAAGAAAAAGAAGTCCAGACAATAGACAAAAGGTAAGTAATAGATATGGAAACATTTTTATCTATTTCTAAATCAATAAAGAAATACATATATATATATCTTGTGTATCAAAAGTTGTGCAGTTCATTCTTAAGCATCTTGATTATGTACAATAGCCATTTATCTTTTAAATATATTGTATTTTTTGCCTTATAAAATGCACTTCTGTACACAAAAATCTATCTGAAAACTAGAATGGACCTTATACTAAGAAGGATATTTTCTCCAAAAAATTGATGTAAAAAATGTGATGTGTCTTATAAGGCAAAAGGTATGGTTATTAAAAATAACAAAGGTTATATAATTTTGCTTCTTATCTATCATAATAATCAAAATGTTTTATAATTACACTTAAAAATATTTTTGATATAAATTTCAGCACTATTATTTTATTGCAATTATTGATGGAAAGTTGGAAGTTAAAGTTAATAGCGGTAACGATATTAGTGAAATGTCATCTGATGTTACTATCAATGATGGAGAATATCATACAGTGACACTTATTAAAAGAAAGAGAAAGTAAGTTGATACATAATAACTTTGCATGTTATTTTAATTATTAATATATATTTGAAGTAATTTTCATAAAGAGAAAAGAGTAATTTTATTACAAAAACAATTTCCAAACCTTCAAGAAATCAAAAATGTTTATAGTGCATTTAAAGCATAACATTTCAACTAAAGAATTATAAATAAAATATAACTTTCAATTTCTTCTGATTCTATGTCACGACTTGGTGCATTTATAGAGACTTGGCAAATAATTCCATCACCTACATTTACTTCTTACAGAAACGCGTTTCGGGCTTTCGCCCCTCTTCAGACTGAAGAGGGGCGAAAGCCCGAAACGCGTTTCTGTAAGAAGTAAATGTAGGTGATGGAATTATTTGCCAAGTGTCTATAAATGCACCAAGTCGTGACATATCAGAAGAAACAAGAAAAAGAAGACACGGTTTCGACAAATAACTATAACTTTCAATGTTAACCTATGTTTCTATTAAGACAAAGTTTTGTTTGTTATTTATTTAAGATAGTTAAAAATACAAAATTTAATATGTGCAGTAATTGTCCAGGAGTACAGGTATCTGAAGTATGGCCCTGTACACACTAGGCGTTTTTCAACGTGCGTTAAACGCCAAGCTAACGCGCGTTAGCTCGGCGTTCAGCACTGGCTCAGTTTGGAAATGGATGAGAAAGTAATTGATTGTGTGTGCTCCTCCATCATCGCTATAAGGCAGCACATATATCTCAAAGCGCCCATAAAGTGNACTTGGGGGTTATTTACAAGTATGTACTGTAAATACAGTACATACTTGTAAATATATATATTTTAATATGATTTTATGTGCTTTAAACGCTTTTCTAGTGATATTACGACTTCAATATTTATGGCAGACAGACGTAAAGTCAAATAAAGTGACTTAAACTTGACTTTTACTTTTCCATATACTTTTTTGACAAACGACGTAAGTCAAGGTATACCTGTAAAATGAAGCAAATCGGGAAAAATTAGAAACTCCAAATAATGAAAGACTGATAATGCCAAAGAACAAGGAGAGTTATATCAGTAAACAAACATCTAACATATAAATATTAATATATAACATCATAAACAAAAAATACATGTCTAAAGCCAAACCAGTAGGTTCAGATCATACTTGTTATGTCCTAGATTGGATTCAAACCCATATTTTTGATAATAGTACTTTGAAATATATATCAAATATTTTAAGGCTTTTTATAATTATTTTATCAGTATTTCTATGAGAATTGATGACGAAGAAGTCAGCCATCTCAGACTTCCCAAAGGAATTAGAGATATTGAAGCAACAAGTGAAGGCAGATTATATTTTGGAGGAATTCCACCAGATTTTGAGGTTGATTCAGACATATCATCACGACCACGTTTCCATGGAACCATTAAAGATGCCATTTTTAATGACAAGTTAGTTGTGTACAGAATTGTTATAACTTGTTATATCATATTTATTTATTTAATTTATGTTTTATTTTGTAGATTATTAAATTTTAATGAACCATTGAGATTCGAAGGAGTAGGGATTGGGCGTACCAGTTCAACAGCACTGAATTCACAATTTCTGTTAGCACATCCAACTGAAAGCTGTGCTAAAAACATACCACACAATATAGAAAAGAAAGCTGTAAATTTTGGTGGTTTGTCAAAAGGATTTGTACATGTAAATTTAGCAAAAAGAGAGATTTCTCGGGAGTAAGTAAATTTTTGAATATCATTCAACTTTTAAAATATGTTTTTGATTTTGTGTGTTTTTAGTTTTACATTAGGTTTTGATTTTCGCACATATGAAAACTATGGATTGATATTGTTGCTCCAAAATACCAAAAGAAAACATCATTTTGCAATAATGATTGAAAAGAATCACTTGGTAGTAGATTTATTAACAAAACAAGATAAAATCAAACTTCAACTAGTAGGAATAGTTAATGATGGAAATTGGCATAGTGTTGGTACATCTTTACTTTAAAATTTAATTAAATTTGATATAAATTAATCTATTTTTAAATCATTTAAATGTATAGGTTGCAATTAGGAAAAGCAAAAGACAAATGTGGATTGTATTGGATGGCAGAGAGAAGGAAGTAGAAGTTAATCGTCGGTTCAATTTTAAGAATATCCTGCATATTGGAAATGTAAAGAATGCAGTGCTCAGCAAACAATTGGTAATTTATTTATTATTAGTCATGGTGATGCATAACATTGCTCTTAATCTAGTGTTTTTTCCTTCAAACAACAATACCTATTAACTTGCAACAATTTCAAACATGAGATTTAAATCCTCAATCTTATAAACTTTTTAACTATTTTTTTTTTAATCTCAAAAACTTTTTTCATATGTATAATGAAGCACTGAACAGTGAAAGATCAAACTTAAACCTAGTTTCCTCAGATGGTTGCAAATTGACATTTTTACTATCTGGCTTTCTTACATACAACTTTTAACTAGAAACAATGTCTGTTAAATTGTTCTTTCTAGTTTTCCAACAACTTGTAATCTAATCCATGAGGAGAATGGACACCAACATATACATTCAAACCACCTGTAAACATTTCAGACATGATTTACTGCCTTGTACAGTACATTCAAATTTTATTCTTAATGTTGTACCATTGCTTCTATTGTTAGTATAGTAAAGTGCAGTACAATAATGTAGAATTCATTGTAAATTACAATATGTTATAATATTTAAAAATTATGATATTTTTACTATATTAGTCTGACTGTACTGTACATCTAATGAGTTTTGTATAATTTGCTGTTATGAACTAAGTATAATTAACAAATATGTATATGTTAATAATATTACAAACTAAATTTGCAGGTTAAAGAGAAATTTCAAGGATGTATAAGAAATTTACACGTTAATGAGAAATACAGAGAAATTCCTGAAGATCCTACATATGGAACGAGTCCTTGTATTTCTTCCGTTGAGCAGGGAGCATACTTTAATGATGGTGCTTATGCTGTATTTGGTAAGTACGGTAGACTTTCTATAAAACGGGTTCATATAGTTTGGATTCCTATATAATGGCTACCATATTTGTATAAACACGCTAAAAGAAACTCGTATAATTCAGTAAAATGTCATTGCCGACTCATGTCGCAACAAGATTGGTCAAATCTAGATCAATAGCGAATATTGCACAAACTGTTGAGTTTAAACGAGCAGTGGACCTACTAAAAACCATTTATTATTTAATGGCCATAAAAATTATATTTATATTAATGATGTCTCCAAAGTTCAGCAAAGTTTTCACAGAAAAATAATTTATCAGGATGCACCGCTCCACGACGAAAACAAGCTTAAGCAATGCCGTTGTCGAACGGTGCACACTCGGTAAGTAATCCTACAATTTTTTGTTTACAGCATAGTTTATATGGATTATTTCCAAAAAAAATTATGTGTATTTTGGAAATGTTGAGTTGAACTAGTCTAGAATCGATTAATTTTACGGAAGAAACCTTTCAAACAGCCGTAGTCTGTAAACTGCATATGTGCTGGGCTGTGATTGGCTCATGTATTTAAGGACTTGTAGAAAATGGATTTCATAAAAATCAGAATGTATCTACCGTGTTATAGGGGGGTCGACTGTAAATGTTAAAACATCCACCAAACACCAAAAGTCCAGTTTGAAAATGTAAAGTTAATGAAAAATGAACATTTTCAATACAATAATTATGGTATTTTTAAGTCAATGAGTCTCATTGAACAACTCAAATGAACTTACAAAGAAATAGCAAGAGTCAATACCATTTCTATTATCTTCAGGTGCAATCTAATAGTATACTCTTAGAAGATTTTTAAAATTCTTAATCAAAGTGACCTACAACTCCCATGAGTATATACTATTCCAGTTACAGACCACAGGGATAGCCATAATTTGCAGTACATTGGGTCCACAACCTGCCCACTCAACCAATGTTTAAAGGAGCATTTGGCATCATTGGCAAAAGGTCATAACACTACAGCACTGGCTATATTTGCAATAGATCAACAAGTTCAGGTGCATCTTGTCAGAGCCAAACTTTTCCATAATTTTTTTATAGTTGTTAGTTTGTACATTCCCTAAAAAAATTCTTGCTCACATTTTATAATATGTCCCACATTGTCCTTTCCACTGGCTTGAGTTTTTCCTTGAAACTAGGATACTTCAAAAGTTGTCTTACTTGGGGACCAACAAAAATTCCCTCCTTTATTTTCACATTGCTCAGATGAGAAAACTTTTGATTCGGTTAAGCAAAGCCTTCTGCTTCTCTGTCCAAACCTTTCACAAAATTTTAAATAAAACTGAACTTGATGAGAGGAGGAGGCGGTAAGAGGATTTTAGTTTTTCTCCACCAGAGTGGGAAAAGCAATATTCTTCTGACTTTGTACATTTGCTGTGCCACATTTTTACCAAATAGTGACTGGTTCTTTTGCTTGACTGTCCCATTCACAAAAAACCAGCAGAATTTAGTGTATCCTCCTTGAAGACCTGTTAACACTGCAACAATTTTGAGGTCAGCACACACATTACATTTACACTCATTGTATTTTATCTTGTCCGGCATTATCTTCATGTTGTCCTAAGTTTCTTTCACGTGAACAGCATGAGCAACTGGAATAGACAGATGTTTGTTGCCATTGTGCAGCAAAATCCTTTAAGGCTGAACTTTGATATTGCAAGAAACGAGATTGTACTCCATTGTAAAAATTTCACATTTCCTGATTCCCTTTTTCTATAGCAGGACACCATAACCTCTTTCTCCAAAAGTTTCCACTGCTGGAGACATGGTGCAAGTAGTTGAACCTTTCTTTTTGAAAGATCAAAGATCCAAATAGTTAATTAATCATTCAGTCGAGACTGATGAGCTGTGGCTCTTCTGTGGGACTCCGATAGGAGCTCATCAGGATTTTGTTGTCATTTTGGCAAGACATCTCCAGGATCAGATTCCTCTTCTGAATCACCAGGAAATTCAGTGGTGGGGCCAGTACTGGCATTAATACATTATCCCACCTGTGTTTCTGTGCTTCTGGCCGTTTGGTATATTGTATCTTGCTTTTTGATTTTGCTGTAAAGCCTTTAATTGTTACTTTTGCATGACTTATATCATTGGTGTTATTATGAAGTTCCTGCCAAATCATAGGGACAGCATAAGGCATCAATATATAGTAAGATATTTGAATTTGTTGACTTGATCGATTTGGACTCTATTAAGATGAACTGTTGGTGAGCCATCAGAGGTCATAACTAGTTTTTCTGTATTGACGACTAGGCCATATGATTGGGCAATCAAATTAAGTATGTCAATTGCCTTTGCATCAGATTCTGCATAAATTGCATGCACAATCATCTGCATACCTGAAATCAGTTATAAATTTGATGGGCTAAACTGAACCCTTGTCAATTCTTGAAGGCTTCATGCATGATAGCATCGATGGTAACAGTATTTGTTGGTTGATGAGATCTAAACAGGCATTTGATATCAATGGTTGTTTCCAAATTTGTAGTTATGGGCAGATTTCAACTGCACTCTCATGGATAATTTTAGTGATTTGTTCCTTATCAATTTCTGTATCTTCTGTATTTTCAAGTTGTTCAAACTGATTAGCTAGTTTTGACTGAAATAATTTTTGATGTTGTTTTGGCTAAGTAGAGACCAGTTGTATCTTGAGTCTTTAAATGATTTTTCAGCAGTTCTTTTTAGTCTGAGATGCACAGTGGCACATAACATGTGGTAATCAGATCTGCAATCTGCACTGTATATAGCTTGAACATCTTTGAGGAATGAGTGGAATTTAGCATTTCAAATCAGCACTGACTTGGGACACACCAGGTAAGCTGATGTTTAAGTGGGTGTTGGAAAAGGCTGTTTCCCACTACTAGTCCATTTGAGGCTACAAATGATAGCTGTTTAGCTCAATTATCATTTATTTTGCCATAGCCAAAATTTCTTAAGGCATTCATCCATGGAATTCTGCTCCAATATGAGCATTAAAATCACCAGCTATTATCATCATATCCATTTTAGAGATCAGTCTGAATGTTTCTTATAATTGTGTAGTGCATAAAAGTAATCTTTATCATAGTCTGCATGTAATTCAGTTGGGGCATATACGTTGATGATATGTGTTTGTACAGTTCCTCTTAAAGTTAAGACTGCAGTGCAGCTAGAGAATGGTTGAAATGATAGTACAATATTATTATTCCTTATTTATTGCAAAATCAACTCCCTCTTGATGTTTAATTCCCCAGAATAGTACAAGATTGTTTTGTCATATTGGGGATCCTGATTCAGTTAGTTGTAGTTCCATCAAAGCTGCAATAGAAATATTATAGTGATGTAGTTCATGTGCAATGACTTCTTTTTGTCCAGTATTCCATGCTATTCTTACATTCCAAGTAGCAAATTGGATTTTGTTCTTTGATTTAATTTGCTTCTTAATTTGGTTGCCATTCCTTGACTGCTTATTTATTGTTTTATGGCCAGTAGTCCATTTTTCATTAGTATCCTAGTCATTCATTAGTATTGGTGCATTAGCTGCCATGGATGGAGTAGCATTTATATGACCACTATATCTTCTGTTTACCATGATTTCATGCCTGGTTTTACAGCCCTTTGGATGAGACCAATAGGTATACTTAGTCTGGCTCTTCTGTTTAGGCCTTTCTTGCCTTGGGGTTTTGTCAGTTGGATGAGCTGCCAGCCTAGCCCTAAACTTCACAGGGCATGCAAACCCCGCCCCACATTAAGGAGGTACCCGTGGAGGACAGTACAGTGATACAGGTTTAATTTCACATAATTTCCATTTTAAACATAAAATATTTAAGTCAGATAATTATTTGATTACCTCCATCATGTGCAGGGCCATGCTCTGACACCAGTCAAAATATTTCTATACTGCAGGCATACTGATACTTCTTCCATTGTTTTAGCAACAATGGAAGAAGTGTCAGTATATGGAGGAGAGTATCTAGAAAAAGAAACATAAATTGGGACTATGTTACATACACAGTTCCATTGCCATTATTGAAATTCTGGACAGAAGTTGAACTGCCATTGTAATTTAATCCTTCATTAATTTAACATCACTATGATAAGAATTTAAGTGTTTCCAAGTAGCATTTGCATGATGATAAACAAATGACAAGAGTCAAAAAAATCTCAAATTACAAACTTTATAAAACTGATAGGGATAAATCTGCCAATAAAATAGTTTAAATTTGAATGAATTAAAATTTGGACTATGCATTTGAAATATCACACTTACATAGTTGTTGGGTGTATTCTTAGGTCGCAATCTATTATTAAGAGATAAGATTTTCACTTAATAGAAATATTCCTCGGAAAGAACATATTGTGTTAATTGAGGGTTATGCGATAAAATGTATTTTTAATTTAATTTAGATAAATGTTAGCATTCATTATGCAAGATATAAAAATTTTTTTTCATTAATTAGATTCTTACAAGAAAAATCAACAGCCATTAGATATTCATCTTGAATTTAAAACAAATCAAATGGATGGACTTTTGATGAGGATTGGTTCTAAAATACCAAATCTTCTTCTTTATTTGCAAGAAGGAAAAGTAATTTTTTTAAATTCATTTGTAATTTTTATAAACAATTTTAAAAATAATAATAATAATAATAATAATTTATATTTTACAAATTATTTTCTAGCTGAAAGTCTCTGCAGATGATAATATAGAGTTAATTCAAGAGTTTCCTTCAAAATTTGCTACATGTAACAATCAATGGCATACAGTTAATGTTCATTATTCTTATGGCAAACTTTCTATGAAAGTTAATGCCTTAGAAATAATTAGAATGGAAGGAAATTGGAATCAATACCCAGATGAGTCAAATCAAAATATTTACATCGGAGGATTCACAGGTAACATTTTCATATTTAAAAGACAAACCTATTATATTATAAACAAAGTCTAAGATTAATAAAGATTATAATTTAGGAATGGATGTGAACATTGTATTTACTTAATTAGATTAATTCTTAATAGCATTATAGTTTTTCTTTCCACTCTAGACAGACTCTAGTATTATTATTATTAACAAAATCACTGACTTTGATCCTTACAATGTTAGTTGTCAGTAATTCAGTAAAATAGAATAAACTTGACATTTCTAAAATTGTATGAATCATAAGTTGTTTATCAATATTTTTGAACTGATAACATGAATTACATAATATTTCAGAAATTTATTTAAAAATTTTTAAATTTCAGAAGACAACTCAACATTTTTCTCCGGGTGCATCAAAAATATCAAAATTAATAACGAACCTCTGCCGTGGATGGAAGCAATGTTGATGAAGAACGTGATATCTTCGTGTCCATCGAATTAAATTGACTGGACGAGAGAAACTAATTTATTAACAAACTAAAAATAAATAATGCCTTTTATTAATCAAGTTTGTGAAAATGTGATATTTATATTAAAAAAAAACCTCAATTTACATTTTTAAATACAAAAACTTACCTTAATTAATCCATTTTATATACAGTTCACTCTCTGGTATATGAAGAGCACAAGAAAATATTGTTTGAATTGTGCAAACAAACTGACATTAGAACATATATACTTAGATTTCTTGATATTAGATATTGAACATTACAGAATAAATTCTTTCATTATTGATAAAACTGATGATGATCAGTTCTTCCATGAACTGTGTTCTGTTCTGATTGCTAAGATTAGCAGTCACTTTATATGACAACAGATAATGTGTAATTTTCTCTTTGTTTTAGAGCATTCCCAATATCATCAGTAGCATCAGATAGTGAAACAAAGTTATAATCTTTGTCAATCAAATAGCATGAGCTGAATGTTTGTCTTCTGGAATTAAATTGATGATACAAATCTTTTATTTCATTTATATTTAGTTTATTCTGACAACTTGTTTTTTTATATTTCTCCCCATTCAATTACTAGTACTGTACATCACGAACTTTCAGTAATTACTTTTCTCATTTGGTTCTGCCACCCAGACAATATCAAAATTTCAAAAACGTTTTGTATTTGTTTGTGCACCAAATACCTTCCAAATACATATGGAACAACATCCACATATGCTTATGTTTTGTATATAATAAATTCAAAACTTCAGATTTCTCACAATTATTTTAGGTTTTGGTTTCATTTTCCATTCCTCATGTCAACTATTTTCTAAAAGGCACTTCCACTAATCAAATGTTGCCCTGTAATCCTCTTCTCCATTATATGAATTCATACCAAGCACCATCTTCTAATCCCCTAGCTTTCAATGTATCCATTGTCATTACTCTTTAGATAAGCTGATTTTGTCCCTTGCATCCTCCTGGTTATGACCAATTCATCATCCATCTCTTTGCATATCCATTGGATGGGTCCACATCACAATAAGGCCTTAAAACCCAAGCAAGCTACCTCTTATGTTATTTCTCCATAACAAGTTGAAGACAAGATAATGCATAACAGAGTCTATGGCTCTGTTATATATTAGCCATCTCTTCTGCCTCTAATTCTAAGTCCACCATTTCCTCCATAGCTCAGAAACATTTCAATCAATCAAAACCGGATTATCATCTTATTGTAGACTGCACAATCTTACAGAAAAATTTTATCCTAAATTTTATTAAAAGTTAAATGACCAGATTGTCTGTCCATATACAATTATAACAGAGAGGAACTGTATAATTTTAAATGAAGAGGTCAGTTCAAGAAGGATGAAAGTCTGTGGGTTTATGTTTTGAGATATAAAAAAAAACCTGTGCTACCATCAAAGTATTTGAATGCTTGCGATATATATTTATGTCCAGCCTAATTATGTACTATTTTACAAAAAAGATGGGCATGTGTACACAGAGGCCAAAATGTCTGGTAACTCAAAACCAGCCTCCTGAACTGACCTCTTCAAATGTTTTGTTTAATATTAGATCTATTAAGTATTTTTATCCTCTCAAAATACTAAATTCTTAATTTGGTTTACAATTATCTTTATATTCATTACACAATTTGGCAGTTCAATAGATCTAATAACTAGCAAAACATAAATTTTAATTTAACATTTAACATTTCCTTATTGTACATTATTTACAAAAATATTTTATTTGGATAATTATAAATGATCAAATTTTGGTATTTTGAATAAATAAAATAAAGATTTTCTCAAAATGTTCAACATCTTATGTATAAAAGATATATTGTAAATAAAAACTAAAATTTTAATTTATTTGTATTGAACAGATTATACTAAAACAATAATTTATAAATTCAAAAAATTTAGTGCAAAATAAAAATTGATAAATAACATTTCCTTTTTCTTTATTATTTTGTATAACATTAAAAATTCCATATTACCTATCTTTATTGCCATGGTTTTCAGAAATGGTGTATCTTGTAGAAAAGAGCTTTCGCATGACTGAGTGTGCAAAACAAATTCATGCACCAATGGTCAACGCCTTCAGATGATTGTTTTGCAATGATCCACATCCTTGAGTCATCAATACAGAGTTGTTTTGGTAACTTTGAAAACCAACGATGCATTTGTAAGAAGAGAAGCAATGATTGTTCCCTGTGTGGGTGAAAAGGCTGTATGGAAAGTGGTGATCACTTTCAGTTGAAGTCCAAGAAAATCAGTGGGGGTAAAGAAACTGTGAATTACAGATGCCAAAAATGGGCAAGTTTACATAGACTAATTAACATAAAACCCTGCAAATTTACAAAGATTCACAAATTAGAATCTGAGAAATTGCTCTAAACAAAAAACTTTTGTGAGGCTTTGTAAGATGAAATGGATAATGATAAAACCATTGTACTGTACAGCATCTAGTGTTTAATTGCCATAATCTGTCGGGGTACCAAAAATCATAATACAAGAGAGTATGGGGATGAATTCAATTACAAACTAAACATTTGTTGGGTCACAAGTGAAGCTCACATTGACCATCTTTTAGAGTATGTAAAACTTTGAGTTTTACTTCAAATGATATTACAACTGTATTGTTTGAATAATTATTTCAATACAGTTTTAATTTGTTATACCAATCATTTAGGGACATACTGTATATTACACGTGCATAAAAACATTCTAGATTCTATAGCTGTATTAAATGGATTTAAGAATTGAAACTTGTCATCAATTTACAAAAGAAGACTTTGAAAATTTAACTTTCTGCATTGTGAATACTAAAAGATTTATTTTCATCTTATCATGCTGATTCAGCCAAGGTTATGTGATAATCTTGGTTGAATCCATGAATGAAAAAAGCCTTATGATTGAAAATCAGAATTTACTGAATACTTTGCATATTTATCCCTTTGATTATTATCCCAATAACTACAAATGAGTTTGTTCAGTGACTGGCTGACATATCTGACTGGAAATTTCTGAGGCTACAACATGGATTTGATTGAACCCACTTCCTAAAAACAGTAGGTTAATCCTTTACTCTTTTAACCGACTAACAAACTGTTTTATGTCATTATGATACAAAATCTGATTAATTTTTAAAAAAATAGCAAAAACTATGTTTTAACAAATTTCATGCATTGAAAAATGACTTCTTTTTCTTAAAAAAATTCTGGAAGCAAATAAATCTTTAACATTGTTACTATAGCAAATTATATAGACACATAAGCCTTAAAAACAAAATAATAATAATAACTTCAATCTCATGCATTTATGCTAATATATTTTGCAAGTTGATTACTCTACTGAGAAAATTTAGGTAGTGTAACTAATATTTTGAATAATTTAATCAGCATTCAAGAACTATAAACACTTCTAATCATTGATTAGTATCAAGAAAATTCACACTTTAGATGTTTTTTAAATAATTTTTCTTGTCTGATTTTTCAGGCAAGAAAAATGATTTGTGAACAGTTTTGATAATTTAATCTATTTATCTGTTTTTAATTATTTTTTTTTCTAATGAATTACCATTGTAAGTTTTTAAAAAATCAATTTTATAAGTTATAAAATACTTACCAGAATGAAAATGAAGTTGGTGTTCATTAGTCTATATAAACAAGAAAAATAGTTCTGTGTTCATTAGGAGCCCAAACTGGAAACAGGAGCAAAATCTAAAAACTTAAAGAACTGGGCATTAGATGGAAATTCATCAATGCACATTACATGCTCATCTTGGACATTTTGATTAACCAATGAAAAAATAATAATACAGCAAAATGCATCAATTATGCAAAACTAACTTAAGCAACTACTATATATGTGAATCAACAAGCCTCAAAATACAGAAAACTCATACACTGCAGTGTACAATTATACAGTGATATATGATGTTTATTAACTATTTACTAAAATATTGATAATAGAGATGTAACATATAATTGGTTGCTTACCTATATATTGACTTTAGTTGTTACCTGACTGGTACATAATCGTCCCTTATGGACTATCATGTTAAGTATCCTTCCCTGCATAGTGTCAGTAACCTAATAGCAAATTGCTGCCAACACATTAAAAAGACTATTTTCTGGATTGACCATCAATTACTCAATACAAATTAGATTATTGAGTGTCTCGGCAAAGCAATTTGTAATGTTTTCAATTGGTTTGTCAAAAGTTTATTTGCAGTGGAAAGTGATAAACAGAACATTATTGTGATGATGATCAAAACATCCTTGATATCATCAGAGGGCAATCTCTCAAGACATCCACACACTTCTACCTTCTTGTAGTCATTCACCTTTAAGTGAGTAGTCAGTCAGCTTGAACTGCATCTATTTATTTTTTTATATCCTCAAATTCTTCCATAGGCATATTTGTATAATAGTTAACAAATCTTTATGCTACAATGATATTGTTTTATATATTGGAAAACTAGAAATTTCACATGTTACAATCAAACCGTAGCTAGGTATTATTTAGATCTAATTCCAAGTGTGTGGCCTATCTCATCCACATAACACAGTTTAATTTTTCATTTAATTATCCTATTTGTTCAATTAGTTAACCTATGTGTTACACGGATGAGATAGGCTACACACTTTAAATTAGATGTAGCTGCAGTTTGATTATAATATATGCAATCTCCAGTTTTCCAATATGAAAAACATCATTGCAGTAAAACCTCAATTTAATGGACAAAATTTCTCGTCTATTTAAAGAGTATTTACCAGAAAATGTTTGTTTGTTTATTTTAATTTAAATCATATATTTGTTTATTACAGTCTCAAGGAGTACAAAAGCAAATAATACATATAGAAAACTTCTGTGAAATTAAACTTCTCATACATACATTTGTATAATTAAAATTACATATCTACATAAGTAAAAGGAGATAAAAAAAATTTAGCAAATTAGTTAGCTTAACATAAGCATTCACAAAAACCTACTTTATTATATAACAGACTAATGGCTTTAATGGGCACTCCTCACCTGAA